CACCGCGTCTGGCAAATCCCAGCACTTTGGGAGGCTGAGGTGGGAGGATTGGTTGAGCCCAGGAGTTCAAGACCCACCTGGGCAGCATAGTGAGACCTCATCTCTACAGAAACAAAAAACTAGCCTGGTGTGGTGGTATACCTAGAGTACCACCTATTTGGGAGGCTGAGGCGGAAGGATCGCCTGAGCCCAGGAGGTCGAGGCTTCAGTGAGCCATGATTGTGTCATAGCACTCTAGCCTCAACTCCGACTCAAAAAGAAATTAAACAAATAAATAAAAATTTTTAAAAATAATGTGTATATATTTATAGGGAAATGAACAAGTAGAGAATATGGGAAAATTCATTCTAGGCTGTTAATTTTCATTCGGGGAAATTATTATTCATTATTAGCGAAAACTAAGGGGGAAATTGTCAAATTATAATTATATGTTTATAAATTCATATAATTATAAAATTATACTCATCATTAGAAAAGACCAAGGAGGGAAAGAGGAGTGAGAAAAGTTACATAGGAGGAAAAAAAAGACACAACAATCTTTTCGTGGTACCATATTAGGAGAAATTGGAGGATATAAAATAAATTTGCAAATATGCTAAGACTGACCATCCACAGAGACACCAGGACAAATAAGCAGCCTGCAGACAGATGGAAACATTTATCTGATTGGGCAATGAGCACGGGGTCAGCTGTTGTCTTGAAGTCCTGATGTTATGTTGATACTGCTTGTTCAAGAATATGACATTTTAACAATAATTCATCTTTAAATCCCGCTTTTAAAAAATTTGGACATATAAGAATTCAGAAACGGGTCGGGTGCAGTGGCTCACTCCTGTCATCTCAGCTCTTTGGGAGGCGGAGGCAAGAGGGTAGCCTGAGCCCAGGGGCTTGAGACCAGCACAGGCAACTTGGCGAGATCTCATCTACACAATAAATCAAAAAATGAGCCAGGCATGGTGGTGCGCACCTGCAGTTCCAGCTACTCTGAAGGCTGAGGCGGAAGGATCACCCGAGTCCAGCAGGTCGAGGCTGCGGTGGCTGGAAGCGTGCCACTGCACTCCAGCCTGGGCGACAGAGTGAGATTCTGACTCAAAAAAAAATTCAGAAACTGAAACCACCCATGTGGCTTTTCTGGAAAACATACCCTAGAAGGTACTCCAGCAAAATGAAATATCGATCAGGATAAGGATGTTTATACTTGACTGCAAACTGTTCAAGCTAGTTGACTGGATCTCTGCTTGCCCTACAGATGTACTCTGTTCATTTTTTTCTCTCTTTGAGTGTGAAAGTTATATACTTGTTTTGATTTTGTTTAACATAATCTAAATTACTCAAAAAAATGCAGAGGCAACAGGATGTTTTAACTCCAATCACTGTCCCTCAGATGCACTTGCTCCTTTTGTCTCATATTTTAATTTTTATTAGTAATTTTACAAATTAGACATCATTATTGTTTTATACAATGATTGCTTCAATTTATGCATATGTTGAGAATTCCTTTTTGCAACCCTGACCTTGCTTCAAGGCTCCTTTTCTTCCTAAATTATATTAATTAAAAGTTGATTTAAGCCGGGCTCGGTGACTCAGCCCGGAATCCCGTGCCTTTGGGAGGCCGAGGTGAGTGGATTGCCTGAACCTGCGGGTTCGAGACCCGCCTGGGCAACTTGGTGAGCCCTCATCTCTACGATTAAATTAAAAAAAAAAAAAAAATTAGCCAGCCGTGGTAGGGCGTGCCTGTAGTTCCAGCTACTTGGAAGGCTGAGGCGGAAAGATCGCCGGAGCCCAGCAGGTGGAGGCTGCAGTGACTGGGAGCGGCCCCTGCACTCCAGTCTGGGTGACAGAGTGAGACTCCAACTCAAAAAAAGAAAAGTTGATTTAACGAGGAAACATTTTTAAAAATACAGAAAAGCGTGGAAAATAAATACAGGTGGAGTCTAAGTAACTCTGGATGCTACGTTTGTGAAGCTAAATGCAACTGTTAAGAAAGGACTTCTAAAATACAGAGGATGCCAAAGAAAAGTGTATATTGTAAGAAAGGGGAAAAGTTGTATTTAAATTGTAATACTCAATATATGCCGATACCAAAAGATGATTGCAAGCCACATCTGACTTCTGCAATTACAAGAGGTGCTCAACCTGGTGGTCATCAGCGTCCAGACGCTTCGGATTATGGCAAACATCTCTTAAAATGCAAATACATTTTTTTTTGGCACCCTCGCATATGTTCTAGTAGGGGTTTTTTTGTTGTTGTTGTTTTGACTTTTTGATTTGTTGTTGTTGTTGTGTGAGTTGGAGTCTCACTCTGTCACCCAGGCTTGAGTGCAGTGGCACGCTCACGGCCACCGCAGCCTCAACCCGCTGGGCTCAGCTGATCCTTCCGCCTTAACCTTCCAAGCAGCTAGAATCTCAGGTGCGCACCACCACACCTGGCTAATGCTTTATTTATTGTAGAGACGAGGTCTCGCCGAGTTGTCCAGACTGGTCTCAAACCCCTGGGCTTAGGCAATCCTCTCACCTCCACCTCCCAAAGTGCTGGGATGACAGGCGTGAGCCACCACGCCCAGATTGTTCTAGCGGGTTTTCATGCATAGTAAACAACCGCCTGGGATTCCAGATCATTCCAACCAACCTGGAAGGTGAGGGACACAAAGAAAAGAGGAAGGAAGGATGCAGTAGAGGGTTTATCATATTGATGGTGAAAGTTGTAGATGCTAATTTATCCTTGATAGTGACACAAACATATAGGCTTAAAAGGACCAGGTGGCCAAGTGTGGTGATGCCCACCTGTAGTCCCAGCTATCCGGGAGGCTGAAGTGGGAGGACTGCGAGAGCCTAGGAGTTCAAGGTCAGCCGGGGCAACATAGCAAGACTCCATCTCAATTTTTTTTTTCAAGTTGCAGGAAGAGTCTCTTTCTGGTTTCTACTATCTCGTCTTCCCTGTCCCACCTTGTATCCATGCAAACAAATACACAAACCCCTCTAGAGTGAAGGGGCAGATAGGAGTGGGAAGGAGTCCTGCCGTTGTCAATAGGACCCCTGTGTGCCCACTGAAAGGGGTGTCCGTGGCAGCCCCAAACTTTCCCTCCATGTGGAGAGGAGCCCCAGCCTAAGACGTCCTACCTGGTGGCTTGCTGATGGCTCTCCTCTCGGGCTCCTTGTAAGGGAACTGCAAGGTGGTGTCCAGAGACTTGAAACAGTCCTTTAGGGAGTTCTGCTGGTAAAACTCCACCAGTTCCTAAAAGGGGGATGGCATGACAGAGTCCATCCACGCAGGCCAGCCCCCAGGAGGCAGGGCTGGGAACAGTCATATCCAACTCCTCGCGTGACGCAGGCCCCGCCCCTGACTTCCCTGGTGAGTGACTCCTTGCATGCTCCCTGTGGCGGGGAGCTCATTACCTTCCCAAGCAGTCGGGACCATTTTATGGGGAAGAGACCACATTGCCTAAAACCAGTTATCCTAATAACTAATTAATTTGCTTCAATGATAAACATGCCAGATAATTAGGTCACCAACTTCAAAGCCTTCTATGGGTGCCAACTGCCTTGTTGTACAATTGTTAATAAGCAGCAGTCTGGGCACATTGGCTCATGCCTGTAATCACAGCACTTTGCGAGGCTGAGCGGAAGGACTGCTTGAGGTTAAGAGTTCAAGACCAGACTGGGCAACATACCAAGGCTCCATCTCTACCAAAAAAAAAAAAGTTAAAAACTAGCCAGACATGGTGGTGCACACCTGTAGTCCCAGCTACTCGAGAGGCTGAGGCCGGAGGATCGTTTGAGGCCAAGAATTCGAGAACAGACTGGGCAGCATAGCAAGACCCCATCTCTATAAATCATTTTAAAAGTAGCCAGGTGTGGTGGCATGCACCTATAGTCCCAGCTACTCGAGAGGCTGAGGCAGGAGGATTGCTTGAGCCCAAGAGGTTGAGGCTGCAGTCATGAGATTGTGCCACCACACTCCAGCCTGGACAACAGAGTGAGACCCTGTTTCTAAAAAAATTAAAAATAATAAAGTACTTATAGTTGAAGGATCTTGATGCCTACAATTTCCCTGAAATAGTGTAGAATAAATGTATGCATGCGTGTGTGTTTTGTGTGTGTGTGTGTGTGTGTGTGGAGAGAAACAGGGAAAGTAAGCAAAAAAGGCAGAATATTAACAATGAGTAAATCTAGACAAAAAAATTCATCGATGTTCATTACACCATTCCAGCAACTTTTCTAATTTTCGAAATTAAAAAATTGAGGGAAACTATTTGGAGGGTGAGAAAAAAGATTGTGGAATGAATTCACCTTTTGGGGAGTCAAGGATACCTTTGAGGACCAAGGGAAATCTAAGACGCCCCTCCTTCCCAAAAGCGCAGAGATGTGCAAAATTCTGCATTTTCTTTTAGAGCTCCTTAAGAGCCCAAAGACCGTGGATAAGACCCATGTGCCTTAGAATGACAAGCTTCAAATGTCTAAAAGACGGTCAAAGATTACAAGACACCAAACAGAATTAAGAGCACTCAAAAGGCATTTAAAAGCCGGGCTCGGTGGCTCAGCCTGTAATCCCGCGCCTTTGGGAGGCTGAGGTGAGTGGATCGCCTGAGCCCGTGGTTTCGAGACCCGCCTGGGCAGCTAGACCTCATCTCTATAATAAATCAAAAAATCAGCCGGGCATGGTAGCGCGCGCCTGTAGT